CATAGAGAAGATGGAGCCCCAAAACATATGCAGCTTTCTACAGATCAGATGACTTGTGAGAGCATGCTATTCAGAGCTCATATGTGCTCCATGTTTTGCAGATGTCATAGGGTATAAATATATATATTCTCAACAGCACTATTTACCTAACATTTAAGGCCACCTTCCTGCTTCCTACTCACTCTCAATTCCATTTATTTACCTTCTCCTTCCAGTCACAATATTCTCCTCTTTTATTTTATAGCCTTAACATGTGCAGCCCACCATGACTCATTTGAGGATTAAAAAAAAAATAAAATAATTCTTTGATGCCTGATTGTCTGCAGAATCTCAATTGCATCATCAAACACAACTGCCACTAGCTACATAAACTGTTCTGGCCTGCAGGCTTATGCTAACATTACAACAGCAAAAATATTCTATGGTATTGTAAGTAGAAGCTGTTCACACACCATGTAGGTGAAACAGGTTAGAATAATTTTCTTCAACAAGTTAAGGAGACTTGACCTTTACATTTTTACAACTACTGAAAGAAAAGTTCCTGAGATTAATTTACAAAGACTGGGATTTGTACAGCTCAGAAAATGTAATAAATCTCCTGGGATTAATAAAATACCCTCGATATATCTATGTTTCCTCTTTCGGGGTGATTACTTTCAAATAAAGATAGGAACCTTGAGGAGCAAGAATGTAACAAAACTCTCACTACTATCTCAAAAGAAAGGCAACACAATTTGCTGAAACTGCAACACTGCTGTTTACACCAGGAGTAATTTTTTTGTTGTTGTTAACATTTGTAATAGTTGAAGTGAGTTAAGAAGCTTGGGGGAAAACAGCTGACCTTTACAAGAAAAAGATAAAACCAACCAAATTCTTTACCTTTGCCTACTGTATGATCATAAAAGCTATGAAATTTCTACAAGCTCCAAATAATTATGATTGGCATGCCAATATAAAGGAAATTCAAACTTGGAAAAGAATTTAATTGTTGATCTGAGCTCTCCAGTGCTCCAGTGCTCCAGTGCAATCAACAATGCCACAAAAAATTTCACAGGGACACCCAGATTATTTTGGGAGGTAGATGTGGAAGAAAGCAGAATTCAAGCTATCTCCACAGTCATCAGTACAAAGTGGACAAAAGAAGAACTGTTTAAGTCATTTAAAAAACATCTGGTAAATCTGTAACAAATACATACAAAATATACTATCATTTAAAATCTTAAATCCGGCACTCAAGTTGCAATATGTTTTTTTTGGTTTTGTTTTTCTTTTTTTGGGGGGGTTCTTTTTTTTCTTTGGGGAACGTCAAAAGATAAGAGGTATATGTGGTTTTTCGTTAACTGGTTACCCCACACATGAGGCATTATCAAAACTGAGTAACTGAGTATCAGACACTGAGCTGTGACCTCCCTGCATTGAATTATTTCATTCATTTTACATGTTTAGATCATAAATTCTTCAGGGTAGATTGCGTCTTTGGATGCAAGCTACATATAGTGGAGCTACTGTCTTGTATCAAGCCCCATCTGTTACTGTCATTTTAATTCCAAAATAGGGCTTGAAATAGTAATTACGAACACTGGTCAGCTTTCATATTTCTGCTAGAATTAGATACTAGGAAAGCAGAGCAGGAAACTCTGCCCTTATACTTCTGCAGTATGTACAGGAATAATTGACATTTTTGTGTTGGAGAATCAGGATATGCTCTCCTTTAGGGATGTGTGTAGATATGTATGTACATGTCCAAAATCCATTTTATAAGTGATTACAGCAAATCAAATCCAGTCACTATCCTTCCTTCTGTTCTACTAAAAGCAGCTCTTCTGCCTTTTTTTTTTTTTTTTTTAACTGGGAAAAAAGCCAGGCCTGCTGAATGCAGAGATCTGTAGGAACACACCATTTTGAATCACAGATGAAAGACACAGGGACACTCTGGCACATTAGTGCAGAGCTGGGGAGTCAGGGACTAAAAGTTCAGGGGCTGAGTTTGTGCACCAAGAAGAGTTTTGGCTTGATGCTTCAACAGCAGATGAAGCTTTGGTCTTGGACTAAACCTCCATTTCCATTTTCAAATCTTTAAGGCTGAGCCAAACACCTTCTGTTATGCTTAATCATTCATTTACTCAGGCTTACCCACTGTCATGTATTTATGGGGTATAAAGCTATAAAAGGATTAGAAGTCATCTAATGTGAGTGACCATAAAAACTTTCCATTTAAACTTTCAAGAGAGGTCAGAGGAAGGGGAAAGACCTTTTTTTTTCAGTTATCAGTGACAGAGGGACCACACACCGTGTGGAAGATTGTTCTAAAGGCTAACTGATAAAAGGACAGAGGAAAAGGCTTCTTTGCTTCCAGTTTGAACTCACTTAGCTTCAACTTTCTCATACACACTTCTGATGTACTGAAAACCCGTTATCAAAGCTATATCTCCCTGAGATAATTATAGACCTCTTACTCATTAACTTTATCCTCCTTAAGCCCAGCAGGGTTATTTCTTTGATCTAAGACTCTGGTGCATATTTTCCATTCTTTTGGACATCATAATTTTAAAACACATGAAAGCCTATGTCATTGTTATAAGATCTATCAATCATTTAAAAGAAAATATTTTGAATCTGTGCAGGGTAACAGTGATCTCAAATTCAGCCTTTTTTCTTATCCGCATGAGGTATGCTTGCATTTTAGCATAATAAGAATGCAATGATTGAGGAACTACATACTAAAAGTAATAAAAGTATCATTAAAAATTAAGAACACTGTGTTTTTTAATTATCATCATGTTTATCTTATAGTTAGAACAGTTCTTCCACCTTCTACAGAAAATATTAATCCCCTAAAATATTCTTAATTCAATAAAAATGCTGGATAAAGTGCAGTCTGTACCAAAAGATGTTTTAAAACTTGTACAAAACTCAAAAGCTGAATTCACTGAATGTAGATGATAATTTTTATGTTTATGCAAGTATGTCTAGTGATAGTCATGACTCCATATAGCCATATAAATAACAAGATTATGTTACAACTCCCCCCATTTTCTTCAATTCACCTTTTCCTTCTTTTTCTGTATGCAAAACATTAAATTATTCAGTAATTTAATTACTGCCAATTTTATTCCCTATTCACCTAATTTTATAGGAAAGCACAAGCCAAGGCTTTGGCACCACAGAGCTGGAGGACAACAGGGCAAATGCAGCAGCATATTTTATAGCTCAAGAACCTCCTCAGAATTTTAGAACATTTATTCACCATTCAGCCAAAGCTCTCCCAAGAGCAATACAGAGTTCTTTTGCTGGCAAGAACAAAAGGGAGCCATATAACTGCATTTATACTCATTCTTTTTATCTTCCACGTACAGTATGTTAGCACACTAGTAGAAAGTGAGTATAGGTTTTAGTCTGGTTGTCAGTATTATTCCGTTACACCACAGTTCACAGAACACTACAGTAAAGACATCTAGACAGTTTAACCACATGGTGTTTGAATTAAGAATGTAACACTGTCCTTTTTAAGCACTAGATGAATTTCAGGTTTCAACTGCAACGACATTTTTTAGCATCTACGATTTCCTTTCATTTTCAATTTCTGTTATAACAAAGTTATTTTAGGAACATTCCAAAGGTAAGTGAAAGGCTACACTTGTAACCATTGAACCACGTGTAGTCTTTGTGGGCAGAAATATAACCTTTGACTTTAAGCAATTAAGGAGAAAAGAATCTGATTTATTTTAATGTAAAGCTATTATGGGAAAAAAAAATTAAAAAAATAAATATGTGTGTATGTATATACACACACACACACACACACACACGTATATATATACTGACATGTTGCTCCAAAATGGAAATCACAGAGCAGGCAAGGGTAGACAAACTTCATATGTACTGCCTCAATTCCAGGAAAGGTCAAGTCAGAGACTGGGCCAGATCAGACATTCTCCTTCAGAACATAAGCAATAGCAGCACATAATTCCTTAATATACAGCAATTCCCTATAAATTGATGGACTTACTATGTGTCATATTCCCTCAGTGGGATGATTGCTATATAGGTCTGCCAATTATTGTTATAACCAACAGCTATGAATATGCAAACATCTGCAAAAAGACATTATTTTCCTAATCAATTATCTGGAGTAAAAATTCTGAATCAGCTGGTCAGAAAGATGGTATCTTGTAATTTAACCAGCACAGAGAAATTCTGTGGTTTATGTAAGGAAACTTAAAAAAAAAAAAAAAAAAAAGACAAACAAGCAAACAAACAAACAAACAAAAACCCAACAACAAAACTTGTTCAAATGCTAAAATTATTTAAAAGAAATGAAAAACATCTCTGCAGAAACTGCATGACTAGGAATAAAACTACACCATTCCATTTTGCTTTCACCATTCCATCTAACAGCAGTTCTTTTTCCCACAACTTTCTCATTTTCATACTATAGTCTTTCTCTACTCAACTTACTTTTGTAATAAAATCTGAAATGGGAAAACAGACTGGGAAAACAGGCTCAGTTTTTAGTTACGGACTACTTGTTCTGTGTGAGGAAAATAAATAAGAGAAAAATAGGAAAAAAAAAATCCCAAACATCAGAAGCAGGAAATAAAGAACCCCAAAATATTAAGAACTTTTTATTTCAGATTTCTATATGCTCCACTGCATTTTGAAAAATGCTGGACAGAGTTCAGAAATAGTCAAGAACAGATATGAGTAACCATTATGATCAAGACAAACCTGAAGCCCTTAATAGGAATTATGCATGAAAACTTAGGCCTGATGAGATGAATTCTCTTTCAGCACTTTAATTGCTTTTTCCTTTGTTGTTCTTTCTTTTTTTTTTAATTTAAAATTTAGAATCTTCTCTTACTACTTTGGAAAATATCAATTCCTTTCAATTCCAGAGGAATCTAGAGTTAATCTGTTTCTAAATTAATTTTCTGCTTACAAAAAGACGATTAGCCAGAGAATATACACTTAGATATTTTAGACATTAAAGGCCGATTTACCTTGTCACCTTCAGAGAAAGTTACTCCATCAATGGCCCTTTTCCAAGTAATCTCTGGGATGGGTTCTCCTTCTGCTTCACAGATAAGGGTGGCTTTCCCATTCTCAAACGTGGTTTCATTTTTAAGTTGTATTATTTGAGGCTGTACTGTTAAAAATACAAATTATATTACTCATGCTGCACAAAGAAAGTCATGTCAAAATCTATTTTACCTTTATTAAAGGCTTAATATTACCATCTATAAGACCAATCAACTTTCCAGACTTCGAGTTGAACAACAACCATATCTGTATGTCTGATGACCTGGACTCCTGGTTCAGTACAGCTGACATGCCCAGCAGTGCCTGCTCCTTTGCTGGGGTTTTGTGGGATGGATCCTGGCTGATGAAGCCCCTGCCTGGGTGGCTGTGTTTGTGTGCTCTGTTCCTGGCTCACTGTCCCTTAGGGGCATCCTCACTAATCTCTAGCACTCAGAATGATGCAGAGATTCAACCATAAAACAATGGTCCTGCACCTGGGCAGAACAACTCCATGCACCAGTACAGGGAGTACTGACCGGCCCCCTCAGCTCTGCAGAGTGGACCCAGAGTGTCCCCGTGGACAAGAAGCTGACAATGAACCAGCAATTCACCCTTAAATAGCGGAAGCTCTAAGAATCTTAGCCATTTGCATAAATACCTGATAGAGTTTAGTAGAGATAAGAGCCAGACTCTTCTCAGTGATGCCAGGTTACAGGACAAGAGGCAATGGGCAGAAATTGAAACACAGGAAAGGAAAAACTTTTTTTACTGAGAGGGTGACTGAACAGCAGAAAAAAAGCTGCTGTGGAGATATCCAGATATATCACTGTGGAGTCTCCATCCTTGAAGATATTCAAAACCCTGCTCTGACTGACCCTGCTCTGAGCAGGGGGCTATACTAGGTAGTTTCCAGAGTTCCTTTCTGCCTTAGGCACGCTTTGATTCTACATAAATCTGTGTTTGTCTTCAAATACAAATCACTGGGGGGGAAATAGAATTATTAGTATTCTTAGATTTTGATCTTTAGCGATGTCTGTCTTACACAAATTACTGAATTTAACAAAATCCCCATAACAAACATACTGTTCTGTAGTAACACTATAAAGAACTGAAGAGCCAGAATTATTTATAAGTAAATTGGCAATAAGATACATTTTAAAAATTCCAGATATTGTTTGCATTCTTCAAATCGTTCCACTTTATAGCAACAAGTACACATCAACTACAGCTCTCAAACTACACCGTACCTCACCAGGTTACTTACATATGCAATTGAATTTCTGCTTAGAGGTGAACACTTTTATTTAGAGGACTTATCTGTACAATATCATACACAAACTCTCTTGTAGAACTGTGCATAGAATATTACTGTCTTCCATGACCTTAAAAAATGTTTTGGTCCTATAAATTCATTCACATGTAACTATTAAGAAGTTTCTCTGAATCCATCCATTTTACACATTAAATGAGAGACACCACTGGAAAACCTAGCATGTAATTATGTAATAAGAATATGATTCAATATATTTACACACAAAACCAGTAAAGTAAGTTTATGTGAGTGAATCAAATTTTGACAGCTCTTAACATCTACTGAAATTAATGTATTATCTATGTAGTTTTCCCAAGTTTTGCTTTTGAGGAAGAACTACTATAGTATATTCTATATGAAGCAGAAAATAAACAGAGAAGTGTCCTATTTTCTAATGGGATTACTAAAGTATACGCTATGCAGAAGAGTAATACTGGCTTATGTTAGTGGATCCAAGTGGGAAAGAGAATAATTTAGATTGGAAGGGACTCTAGGAGCTCATCTTTACCAATCTCCTCACCAATACAGGGTCAACAGACCTTGTTCGGACCAGATTTCTCAGGGATTTGTTGAGCATTATCTTAAAAAATGCCAAGAACAGAGTGTAGAGCCTTTCACACCAGACTGTTGCAGTGCCTAGCTGTCCTCATGGTGAAGAATAGTTTCCTATATCTAGTTTCCTGCTTCATTTTATAATAACTTTCATTTATGACTACTGTCTCACAGATGCTCCATTCAGCATCACCAAGAAAAACAGTAAAACCAGGTTCAAACCTGCTGTATATCCAGATATATCTTCCACCTCTCTTTTAAACATTTCCACCACACCATTCTTGGTCTTACTTCTCATTCCTTATCTCCACATTCCTGTTGCTTATCTACTGCCTGTTCATGCTTGACTACTACAGTAAACTATTGTTTACTGCACAGAGATGAAAAACAAGTAATATTTTGCCTAACAAAGTTCTGAACTAATATCCTGCTTCATTAAGGTATAATCTATGGTGAGTGACATCATGTGCAGAACAAAAATACCCTGTGTGATCAGGGACTCTTGAAATGTCAACTGGATCCAGCTTTATGGGATGCACTAGAAGGCAGTAAGCTAAACATTACAGCAGGACACCAATGTGGCCAAGAAAAGCTGAAGTTCTCCTCAGTGGTATAGTATAACAAGGGATATCAGTTGAAAGAACTACAAAAGAAGAATTAAAAGTAAAGGATAACTATGTTATCTTCAAGATAACTTCAGTTATTACTCTCACTTTCAGGATCATCCAAATGCATACGAAATATATTACCATGGTGCTCTATTTCTATAGCCATGTCTCCTGGCTACAGTATAATATGTTCTTTCCTTTGTCACTATTGATATAATACCATTTCTGAAAACAAGGAGCTATTGCAAATATACCGCTCATTTAAAAAAAAAAGCATCATACATAGTATTTTATATCAAAAATTTGCAAAATTTTGAATTACATTATTTCCATCAGAATGAGAGGATTTCCCCACCTGCACCCCATGACAAACAATATGATCTGCTCAAGATGATGCATGTTCTAAAACATGTAAATAATGCTTTTTAGTTTTTAATTTTAGACTTATATTCTAAATTACTTTAAGGCCTTCAAATGGATCACTACAAGACAAAAAGGTTTAGCTTGACATTTTAGACATGAGCAGCTGACATTTAAAGGAATAAGCACTGATTAATCATCAAATATATCTAGATGACAGTTATTACTAAGAAGAAGCAGAGTGCTCATACGGGGGATATTATTTAGTTGCTTCATTGTTGTAGGTCAGAAGTCATAACTTGCTATTGATTAGAAATTTTTACACTGATACTTTTTATTATGTTTTGGACATTGGAAAATATCAAAATACTTTTGCACACATGTAAATAAATATATTTATTTGAGAATGCCAAGAAAGAAATACTGAAACAGTTGTTTGCTGCCCCATCTCCAATCCCTTAACTGTTCTTTTTAAACCAACATGGTCATTTTCAAACTGAATTGGTATTTGCTTGCTGTACTCTAGTAAATATAAACCAAATTAAAATACAGGGTCTTGGAGTGTAACCCCAGGAAGCCTCCAGGTATTTGCTGCTTTTTTTCAGACAAGAATATTTGTATTACAATGTACTTAAAAATAGTAAACTGCATGAACTGACTGAAATGAAAGAAGGCTTGAATACAGAAAGGAGTTATGCTTAAGCTCCATTAAAATTATTTTATTTAGCAGGTAGAGGAACTGCTTATTACTAGACATGCATTTTTTAAAATATTAACAAAGCAGTGCAGCCAAATAAATAGTATTTACTGGTTCGAAAGTTTGCTCTCTGAGCAGAGAAGGTTGGTTTTAAGTTCTCTAACGCTTCTTCAATAAACAACTTTCAGATTACTTCCTTGGTCTTTTCTGGATTTGCCTCAGACAAGGGCTAAGCTCATTGCTGTGTAACTACAGCCTTCCCAAAAAAGCTTAAGAAGAATGTGGACGGCAATCTGAGGTTCTGGATTTGTTACTGGTTGCTTACAACTGATTTACTGGAAAAAGTGCACAATTTATTGCATTCACAGAGTTATACCCATATCTTTGAGTTTTATCAGATGTGTATGGTTTCATCAGAAGCAGCACAAATATAAAACTTAGACGGTCCTGATTATATCTCATTAAAAGAACTGTTTTAAGCAGTTTTGTTAATACAAACATGGATTTACTGTTAAGAGGTTTAGTATATGTCTGTGTTGATGCCTGATTGGATTTCTTGATTAATATGATACATAAGGAATCATACTCTTACATTGTCTTCCTGTACAGCCACATTTGAATCATGTAGCAAAATTGCAACCATGTCCTCCTGGAAATTGCCTGAATTTAGTAAACAAGCTAGAGCCCAACAAGGAAATTACCTAAGAAATAGATTCTTGCACCTTGATTCCTGACATAATAAGGATTTATACACACACCAGTACAAAGTGATTTAGTGCACGATAAGCCTGAGTCTTTGTACATGTTAAAATGCTATTACTACTTCAGACTCCAAGGGATTTAAGACTTGCCTTGTGAGAGAAGTCGCATTTATAGATTGCATCACTTTTTATTTTAAAAAGTAGAGGAGTTCTAAACAGTTAAGGACGTAACAGGAAGGAAGAAGTAACACAGAAAATGTATGAACTTTTGACACTAATCTTTAACTAATGCATTACACTTTGTGAAGATGAATTTGGTATACTTTATAATATCTGGGATGAGCAGGAACAGGTAGTTTCATTCACAGATCCATGGGATCCCCTTCCTAGATTTATCAGTGAATTTAAATGAAGAAATTCCATGTCTGTATTGAAAAGTATCTTAGTGGAAACAAAAACAAAAGACAAAAAAACCTCAAACAATGACCACCTAATTAGGTGTGCACCAGGCACTGTAAGTGTAAGAGGAATGCAGTCATTAAGCCTGAAAATAATAGAAAAATTTAGGCAACTTCTCATCCCAATCTCATTATAGACTCACTGCAGCCTTTTTGCTTACAAGATGCATGGCTTTCAAAGGCCTAAATGTTTTGATTTTTAACATTTGAAACACATCTAAGAGTGGTAAGACAGGAGAGGTCTGGTACATTTCCCCCCCATCTGCTTGATGACAGATAATAAATTAATAATAGTGTTTACTTTTCTCAATGAAATTTACATTGAACACAGCTGCAGAAACTTTCCTGTTATACAAAATTCAGATTATTCTTAAAAATACAACTAGAAAATAAAAATAGTATGTGCTTAAACTATACTATAAAGGGTCTTTTGTAATGCTTCTTGAGGTATTTTTCCCTCATCTGACTTTCATGAAATAAATTGTCAGAAACTACTGAAATGCCAGTGACATATTTTAGATACATTTAGAGTACCCTCTCACTGATTATGTAGGCAAAACACAGCCTACAGGACTTCAAATTAACTTATGCTAGAACACCTTGAATTATTTTCACCAAATCAGATAAAAGAAAAAAAATATTTTTTCTCTTTCTAGAAATAGAAATTATTAGACATAGGAATGTTTCTTTTTATGGCATATGTACAGAAGAAAGAAAACTTACTGAAATGCTCAATTGTTTATGCATTATCATAACCATGAGTGATTACAGAGTGGAAATGAGCAGTTAAAAGAACAAACAAAATGAAGATATAAAACTATGCTCAGAATATAAGCACTATTCTTATAAAGCATAACTATGACTTTAGCTAAAGCTAATTTTGCTTCATTTAGCCTGATTAGACTTTTTTTATTAGTAAGTATATGCACACTACTACCGTCACTCTGAAGAATGATAAATGAATGTTTAGGTCTGAGAATGTAAGATGATGTAAGAATGCTTTTAATGTATCAACTCTTCTTGTCTGCTCCTAAATCAATTGCTTGTTACTATGTTATTTGGGAAATTTTTATTGGGATGCCCAATTGTTTCATAATTAAAAATGCTAATGCACGTGTATCTAAATGTATATATATCTGTGTGCGTATCTGTATATCTATCTATCTATATATATCTGCTGCCCAGCAGAGACAAATACAAAAAATATATATAAAGAATTCAAGTAAGAACACATATGGTTTCAAGCCATTCAGAAGGACTAAACATAAATGAATTTGTGTCAAAAGCCTTAGCACAAGTCCTAAGCATTAATATGAATGAGATCATTTAGGTAGTAATAGATAATGTTACAGAGAGAACTACTGCACGCAACAGGATGACAGACAGATGAGCAAATCATGATCAGTAAGAAATCCTCTAAGGGAAACAGGGCTTTCTTTACTCTTTCATGTCTTATTAGGTAGAACAGATAAAAAGCACAAGATGAAGAATTTGTGAGAATGGGATGTGTGCCTATAGGTTTCTGTACATGAGTTAGCGTTGCAGAAGAACTGTCAGAATAAGAATTTGATATCAGATCAGCTTTTTTTAACACTGATACTGGAAACAAAGTTGTTTAACAAAAAAATCTAGGTCATGCATGGAAACAAAACATATGCAGCTGCTAGATGGCACTAAAATGGGCATGTCCATTCAAAAGTGCAGAGTACTAAAATTTTAAATGCTGAACACTATAATTTTATTATTATTTTTATTGCATTATGGTTACATTACTGTTATTACAAATTTCAACCCTGCCAGAGCCCTGTCATAACAGAAACAATAATTGTTGCCCCAGGGAGTTTACATTGTAAATTAAATTAAAGATAGCAGGTATGTGAGACAAGCAAACCAATGAAGTGGGAAAGAATAATGCAATTGAATAGGTCATTTTAACACGAAATAGCTGTTTATGAACTATTTAGCTGTAATAATCAGCCATCTGCCTTGCCATTTTCAGGCTGATGTTTTTTGAATATATTTAAGGTGAGTAAAAGTATGACAAGTTGCTGGCTCCATATATGACTGAGTTTAACCTGTGTGAAAGAGACAAAAGAAAAAGTAATCTTTTTTGTAGGAGAAGATACAACTCTACTCCATATTTTCAGAGTTAAAGCAGAGGTGAACCTTCTAAATTTAATATTATACTAACAATAGAGTTAGCTTTAGAGATTACAGAGAAGGTAATAGGCTTAATTTATGATACTATACCCTGAGGTGCCTCGGTTTCATCTGGGATAAAGTTAATTTTCATCTTAGTAGCTGGTATAGTGCTGTGTTTTGGATTTAGGATGAGAATAATGTTGATAAGACACCAATGTTTTAGTTGTTGCTAAGCAGCATTTACAGTAAGTTAAGGACTTATTTTGCTTCTCACACCACCTCACCAGCTAGTAGGCCAGGGGGGAGGAGGGAGGAAGGGGGGGGCATAAGAATCTGGGAGGGGACACAGCTGGGACAGCGAAATCAAATGATCCAAGAGATATTCCAGACCATATGATGTCATGCTCAGTGTATAAACTAGGGGGAAAGCTGTCGGGGGAGCACTGCTTATGAACTGGTAGGGCATCAGTTGGCACTTTTCATGTTTTAATTTTTACACTTTGAAACTCAGATCCAATATTTTTGTTACTACATCTGCAATCATGAGCTTAAATAAAAATCAAGAAAGAAAAAACAATTAAAAAATTAGGAACACCTCTGCCTGATGCCTTCTTACCAAAAAAAAAGGTACACTTTTTTCCCCCTTTCAGAATTATCCCCTTTCTCCTCTTTTCTTGCAAGCAGCCAGATTTTAAAGTAAAACCAGAGTGATTTAACAATTTAACACTGTTGTATTGTATCTGAGTAGTGGAAAGCAAATGATGAAGATAGCCTTTTCTAAATTAAATTCAGGAGTAAAGGTTGAAGTAGCCAACAGGAAAGAAAAAGCTGTAAAGTTAGACAGTGGTTTGCTGCATCAGTAGATACCTTGCAGGAATACTGTTCCACTGAAAACTGTGGATTATCACCTCAGCCCCCTAATATTTACATTTAAAAAGGAAGAATGGAATGTACTATGCAGTACTTACCAAAAACTTGAAGGATTGTCTGTTTTTTATCATTTCCTGCTTTGTTTTTAGAATTACAGACATAAGGACCCGCATCAGTGTTCTTTATATCTCTTATTGTTAGTTCTGTATTGCTTCCTCTTAGCATGTATTTTTCATTTTCTTCAATAAGTTTACCATTCCTAAAAAAAAATAAGAACAATGTAAAAATCAACCAGTAGGTTCCAAACTCTGAAGCAATGTGCTGTGAATGCATCAATCTGTTGAAAATAATTTTTGAGGGAAGAGACTTCTATTATGCTCAAAAATGCAATACCTCACTTAGTATAAACTGGCAGCATGCATAGAAGGGATTTGATTTTAGCATAACCAATACTGTTCTGAAGGATGAGAGTGTTTTTCATAAGAATGTGCACATTCTAGACACAAAGCATTCTGAACTGCATTTTCATGTTCAAGACCCCAGGTTCATAAATTTATTGCCATGTTCTAAAACTATATACATCTTGAAAATGCTGTATCTTTATTCTTAAATGTTCAATATTGACTTAGTGTTAGAGAAATGCTTGTGAATAGAACATACAGCTTACACTCAAGGAAGTGCAGAAGGAAACTGGTTAGACACACATACCTGTATGTGAGGAACATTTAAAATCAAATTAACTAAGTGTAACTGTTGCAGTTCGTATAAGTAATAATGTACCGACTTAGAAAACATATTTTAAATCTCACACAAGTGGAGACTATTGGCACACCCTTTCCAATTATTTCCTCTCAGTTGTTGTTGGCTAGCCACTACTTAGTAAGCAGGCATATCTCCAGATGTCAGAATGAGTTCTGACCAGATGGTACAGAAATAATAAAACCTGTGAACAACTCTGAGGGCTGATCAAGGCTTGACCAGTCCATTTGAGCATGTTGGCATATGCAGAGGGCCATTTCTCCTTTTTCAAGAGTGCAATTTTAACTTTTTTAATTTCTTCTCATTCTGCCTAGTTTGCTACAAGCTCCTTTTGATCTTATTTCTTTTGAATCAACACCCCCTTCTCACAAGCACCTACGTATAAAATTGATTTTCATAAGCACTGATAATCTCGCTGACAATTCCAACTTCTTGAAAACAAACTATTTAACGATTTATAAAATGAAACCAATATGCGTTACTGAAATATTCTCTTCCATTCAATATGCCTAGTTTAGGATATACAGTTTTATTTCAAGATTGAAGCAACAATGATTTTCATGTCCTTCTCACATAATGCTGATAACTATGCAGATTTCATATTTTATAAAATTGTATTTTCCCTAAAAGAAAATACTGCTTCTTTCCTGGAAACACTAATATCTGTTAATAGGATTCCCCTGGCATCTATATAGCTTACATTTCAGTGTCATTTTTGTAAATAACTAGTCAATTTATCTGTCTACTTCAAGGCATTACTGTGATACTTGATTGTCTCCTTTCTAAAGGAAATCATAGGAATTGTTTTGCAGAACAGAAGAGATCTAATTTTCCACAGTTGGTTTCACCAAAAAAATTTAGTGATTTATGTTAAGAGACAGAAGTCTATAATCAAGGTAAGAAGTAGCTTCCAAATGCCTGTTATTATAAGCATTTCCTATATCTATGACAATTTCGAAGCAGAAATGAGATTATAAGCATTTCCTTGGACCCTCTAGTGAACAGGAGAGATTCAGACTGATGCTCTGACGTTGGAGAACAGGAAAGCATGAATAACACATTGAAAGTGGATTATTTCTTTTGTCAGATAATTCTATGTCCTGCCAGTAAAGATAAAGGGAATGATCCTTCTAAACTCTACTAGTGTAAATTATTTCCACAAACATAATAAAACATCATTTTTCAGCAGGACTATTCAATGAGTAAAGATTTCCAGTTCATGACCTGTATCTTTGTATCTTTATCTTTCAGTTCTGGCTAATTTAAGTTTATTAGTGTATTGCTTCTTTTCAGAGTATATGCTTTACATGAATGTAATCAGCTTCAATAAAGATATCAGTTAAGTGGTGAACGAATTAGATTCTCTAGGTCCATGAAATATCAACAAAGTGAACATGCATACTAAGTACAGCAGCAACTAAACCTTGCTGACCTTTCTTCTTGACTAGATATTTCAAACTGACTAATTTGTAAGTGAACTAATGTTTTTTGTTTTTTATTTTTTCTTTTTTAAGTAGATTGACACATTAGTTAAGATGCCTCCGTTTCAAATTTACAAAACCTTAAACATTGTAATCACCTGGAAATGAAAATGGTAGATGCAAATAGTTAAAGCTTTTCCACATTAGCTACTGTCTTAAGGAGCTTAAAGTTTGAAGCTACTGTTTTGTCCAGCATCTTGCAGTCAACACAGAGGGATATATATAAGCCAGCTGAATAATACTGTCATTTATTTTAAACATACAGTTATTTCTTCATGACCTAGCTGAAGCTGACCTGTTATATCAGTACACTGGATACAATTCCACTTGTTTGTTAAAGAAACAAACACAAATTTGAAGTTAACTTACATTCAACATCAAAAAGTACACTAAACAGAAGGAAATTTGGAGTATAACAAGTTGGCCATTAATACTGATAAATCAATTCAATTAGGTTCTCAATGTACAACAAGAATTTTAATATTAGATAAATCAGTTTTGACAGACTTTCCTACCACTGATAATGCTGTCTAGATTTTTCTCAAGATCAAGAAAGATTATGTTCATCTAGTTTTCCTATGCTCAGTCTAATTTCTAAAGAAAAGGCATCTAAAATATTATAGGAAACTAAAGCTTTTATCTTAACATATCTGCAAAATAAGTTGAAGGGGAAGGAGAATATATCAAATGATTTTGAATCCTCTTAACCAGCTACCTATATGTGAGTGAAAAGGGACATGAACAGGTCGGGAGAGAGAGCTCAGAGATTTGATGCAGAAATTTAGTACTGGAGATCAATGTAGAATAAAGTTTGATTCCTCTAGAAGAAATAATGTAGCTCCTCCCATCTTTTTTCCTTATTTGCAGATCAATAATAATATCCTGTCACGGACACCAGGGGCCTTTTCCACCTGCCACTTCACAATATCTCACTGTCAGCAAATAAAAAAGAGTATTTTCAACTGCCAAGAATTTATAGCCCAATAAGACAAAATAAAAACAGAATGAAAGGGGGGAAGAAAACCCCAACAAAGCAAACAAAATAAACAAACAAAAAAGCACCAGCAGGGAAGGGAGATACATAAGTCAATATTCCTCACTATGAGATAGCTCCCAAAATAGGAGCAGAACAGAAGCTTCCACATTTAATATTCAGTAATCAGTACACAAGCCTGTTAAGCTTTTGTAAAATCTTTACAAAAGATACTTAATGAATGGTTTAAAAAAGCTGCCTCAGGGGCTGGCAAACCAGAAGAAAACCCTTCAGTAGACTCTGATCAATAGACACAAAGTCTGTGTCTTTCCAAGACATTTAGCCTGTGTAAATACTGTAATATTTATAAAATATTGACAAAAATCCACAAGTCTAAGTGGAGATATTCACAAGCTGTGGAAATTTACGCATTCTTTCTTAACAGCATAAAACATTAATGTTGGCTGTCTTACATCTTTCAACAAGGCCATTTAGGGTACACGATTTCAGACAACTCTTAAGAATTTTGGCTGGGTAAGACAGACATTGTAAAAAATTACTTTAAAGACCTTAAACTATCAGAACAGTCAACCTTCATTTGAATTCACTATCAGTTTTTTAATCTGGGCTCTGCAAATTTTGCTTTGCTTTTTCTTTTTCTTCACTAGATTTTTAATTCTAAGCCACATGACGGAATTAACTTTGCATTCTATGTATTTGCATATCTTGAGATTCAAATTGCACAAGGGAAAAATTTAAAATGAAGTATGACTTTTGACATGTTAAGATGTAGGTATCAGTCAAATGAAGCTAATATTAAAAATGAATCCAACATTGTTCGAAGATTCCAAAGGAGATTAAGAGCTGATGGCAATCCCTTCTATGAAAATGTAGTGACCTTTTAATTCACCTGAAATAATGTAAGTAGATGAAAATTACTCAGGTCTAAAATAGAAATGTGCACTGATGTGAGGTGTCTGAGATATTTTATATCCCAGGACTGATACATGTATCTTTGTTAAAATTGAAAGAACACAGAGTGTATGGATATTAATTTTTTTACAAATGTTATATGGTAAGTGTTCCCAGACGATAAAGCTATATTATCTGCATGTTATTGATAACATCAAAAAACACACATGAGCTTTAAAACTGGTTCAATTTTCAAAACGTATTACATTTTAAAAATTACATAAACCACCCTTGAAACTCATGCAGTGAAACATTTCCATATCCTATGGGTGTCTAAAGCAATACCTCCTTATGAATCTCATTGAAACACAGAGTTAGGGTTAGACTATTTTTACAAATGGGGAAAATGTTACCTTTGTTATCAGTACTGCTGATCTGTGTTGGATATCTATTGCATAACTGCATATGTTTTCACTTGATGTATTCATGTGCAGAAGTTATGAGATTCTTGCTTGTACTGAGATACAGACTCATTGCTTCAGCTTTATTTATTTCCACTTAGATATGAAAAATCACATCAGTATGCTATTTTAGTTGCTTCTTACATTTATCTCACTTCCTGGTAACCTGAGTGCAATTGTATTTGTCTGAGTTCATTCACCTACTAATGCTGCATCTAGCTTTAGAAGTCAGAATAGAAATGGACAGCAAATGCTCCTAAAATTCAGTAAAAAAATATTAATTAAGGTTGCCCAGCTTAATGGACCATGATAGAAAATCATGGCACATTAAAACAATGTGCTCTGATGTGCAGACTTCAACTAAACTTACCTGTACCAACTGATTTCAGGTGGAGGTGATCCAGTGGCTCTGCAGAATAAAGTTATTGCCTCTCCTCGATCTGCAGTGGCATTAAAAGATTTCTGTAGCAGAGTAATTGCTGGGGGAACTGAAAAATAAAACATTATGGCCTATTAATGGAAAATAAATTATGTGTTTCTAGAAAAATCTAAATCACAGGACAGGATCCTTTGCTAACTTTGGAATTTATAATTATACTTAGGAATCAAGTTAAAATATGAAACACTGTTACTAGTATTTCTTTACTTTTCTTAAACACAAGAATTTTAATCATTATCAGGTCTTTTTTTTTTACTAGAATATTTTTTGAAAGTCTTTTTAAGTAGTTCTTCAGTCTTTTTGCAGAACATTTTAAAGTTCTGTATGTCTAAAGCTAGACACAGCATGCATAAGACATAATAAAGTTATGATGACCACTAATTTAACTTCTTTTATCTTTAATCTATTCTTTTAAAACAGGTGCCAGTATGTAGTAGTCTTTCATCACTGGCCTTGCAGAACTGATTCGTGGCTCTGCAGGCCAATAATGAAAGACCTGTAACAACAGGAGAGACACTAGAGGCAAGTACGGCAGCCCAGTCTTCACCACATATAACAACAACTACAACTAGGGTGAACTGAACTACTAGATATTACAATCTGAAATTCAGTCTTGCAGTCATTGTCAGTGTTCTGTAAATGATTAAAAACAATATTCCAGGTTTTACATATATATCATTTACAGTGATATAATGAAATGCAATGAATTCTATTTCCATGGTGTATTTTTAAAAAATATTAAGAATTACATTTATAGGAAAACAATACGAAGCAGACATGACAACTATATTACCCAGTTCAGTCACGATATTTTAGAAGCTGACATATTTTAAAATAGGCTATGATAACCAAGTAAAGCAAGAAGTCAATCCGACAACTTTTACTGCTTACCATTCACAATAACAATTATGTCCCGAAAGTCAATTTCTCCTCTTGCTTCCACTCTTCCTTCACATCTGTATACTCCTTCATCACTTTTATTGATGTTAAGAATTTGGAGATTATTGTTTGCTAATACAGCAAATCGATCTAGAAAGGCAAGTAAGAGATGAAGTGGTGTTAGTAAACCAAGACAACATGCAGAACGCTTACTTAAGTGAGTAGTATTAATGTACTTCCTCTATAAAATCAGAATGCTCATTGACAAAACACTCATTAATTTAAAAGTAAAATGTCAGCCAAGGAATTTGTTTTTTTTCCCCAGTCCAAAATACATTGCCATTTCCTAAAATTCAATCTGGATTTTCTATCCATAACTTCCTGCTTACTCTAAGGAGTCATAAAATATAAGTTAAACTTATAAATTACTGCAAAAAGAGTGGAATATTCATGAACACCTACATAGAATTTGAAAAGATTAGAGATGGAAAAAAGATAAACCATTTATAATAAAAAAACACTTCTTCCCTATCTATATTAAGCAACTTTGTGCCCATTTTATGTCACTATGCTTATTCATTTCTCAGCTTGCTTTCTCTCCTTCCCTCTTCCTGTTCCTTTGCTCATTCACTAATACTCATTCATCAATGTATCTCACCATAGTTTAACACTTCACAGAAATGGGTATGAAGACATAATCCAACAAAGCAGTCTACCTTCTGCAGAGTGCAGCATAAACTGAAATTCAATGGACTTTTTGAGTAGCTCAAGTTAATTGAAAAAAAAATCAGATTCTGAATACACGTGCATGCATTTTCCTGCACATGCAGCAGCAAAATTATAACCTGGAAAAATAAACTGAATCCGAATTTATTTTATTCTTTCCTTTATGTCTGAACTAGTGTATTGAGTTTACATGTCAAGACATTGGCAGTAGGAGGGCTGCAGGGCAGCCTCTGTAAGGAGCAAGCGGGGCTGCCCTGCGCTGGATCCAGACAGATCCAATGGACCCACCGCAGGGCACGGCTGAGCCCTGCAGATGACGGTGGTGCCTGGGAAGGCCCAGTGGAGGAAGGGAAAAAATAATGATGTGCTCAAAACTCGAGAGTCAGGAACGAGGAAAACATGACAGAAACAGCCCAGCAAGCACCAAGCTGAGAGAAGGTTCAAGGGAAGGAGGTGCTCTAGGCACCAGAGCAGAGACCCCCCCCTGCAGCCCCAGGAGAAAGCATGGTAGAACAGATTTCCACACTGCAGTCTGTGGAAGACCCCATGCTGGAGCAAGTTTATTCTGAACTACTGCACCTCATGGGAAGAACTCATGCTGGAGCCATTATGGACTGACCACAAGCCCATTGCCCATCTCCCTGTACTGCCTGGGGTGCAGGAGGTAGAGAAGTCACAAATGAAAGGTGAAATTGAGCCTGTGAAAAATAAAGGGGGTGATGCTGCATTACTTCTCTCTTTCTGTTTCACCATCCATCTCTACTTAACAATAAATTCAAGTAATTTCCCCTCACTCAAATCCATTTTGCCTGTGCCGGTAATTGGCAAGTGATCTCTCTGTCTTTACCTTGAACCATGAGCTTTTTCACCTCATTTTCTCCCCTAGTACTGCTGTATTGTGTTTAAGTGGCAAGGTTTTGCTGGTTGTGTGGGAGGCTGCAAGTGTGGCTTCTGCTGGAAGCTTCCCCCATGTCTGATAGAGTCAATGCCAGCCGGCTCCAAGACAGACCCACTGCTGGCCAGGGCTAAGCCCATCAGTGATGGTAGTAGCACAACATAGTTGAGAAAGGGGAAGTTGCACAGGAGCGGAGTGAGATTACGTGAGAAACAGCTCTGCAGACACCAAGGTCACTGCAGAAGGAGGGAAGAGGTGCTTCAGGTGACAGACAGATTCCCCAGCAGCCCATGGTGCAGGCCATGGTGAGGCAGGCTGTGCCCCTGCAGCCCATGGAGGTCTATAGTGGAGCAGATCTCCACCTGCAGCCCATGGAGGACTCCACACGAGAGCAGGGGGATGCCTGAAGAAAGCTGTGACCCAGTGGGAAGCCTGTCCTGGAGCAGGATCCTGGCAGGACCAATGGCTGGCCCTGTGGAGACAGGAGCTGGAGCAGGTTTGCTGCAGGATTGTAACCTGTGGGGGACCCATGCTGGAGCAATATGTTCCTGAAGGACTGCACTCCATGGGAAGGGCCCATGCTGGAGCAGTTCATGAAAAACTGCAGCCTGTGGGAAGGACTCACATTTGAGAATGTTTGTGGAGGATTCTCCCACAGGAGGAGAGGGTCCCAAGGGACCCCATGCTGGAGCAGGGGAAGAGTGTGAGGAGTCCTCCCCCTAAGGAAGAAGGAATGGCAGAGACAATCTGTGATGAACTGACCACAGCCCCCATTTCCTGTCCACTGTGCTGGTGGTGAGCCCAGAGAAGAAGGGAGGGATCGGGGGGGACGTGTTTTTTAAGATTTGGGTTTACTTCTCATTATCCTACTCTTATCTGATTGGTAATTCATTAGTTTTCCCCAACACTGAGCCTTTCATTGTATTTTTTCTCCCTTGTCCAGCTGAGGAGGGAAGTAACAGAGCAGCTGTGATGGGTACCTGGCATCCAGGCAGGGTCAACCCAGGGCGCCTGTTGAGGAGGATGAGACAGTGGCTGCGGGGGTGCCTTGAAGCTGGCCAAGGTCAACCCCCTGTAACTAGTCAAATTCATGGCCTTTTTTGAGGAGAATTACTTCCTGCATTTCACTGTATGTGTTTTTTTAACAACTTGCATACTTGTTATTGAGCTCTTTCTTATTCTATTTGAATCAGTGTCATTCTATCAGTATTGGAAGAGGACAAAATTTACTAGCAATTTACTAGTTTTAACTAGCAATCGAGTGTCATTTTTCACTTTGCTTTCCTTTTGATTCTGCTAGATTTTTAAAGCATGTTAGATTTCTCACAACACAGATATTCCAAAACAGTGATAAACAACACCTGGTAGAAAAGCTTTCACATAGAGTCAATTCAAAGAGCATATGTAGATACACAGTTACAAATAAAACAGCTTTTTATGCCGAGTTCTATTTCATTACCAAGGACTCTATCAGAAAATTAAGACAAATGGAAAAATAAAATTTAATTATGCTTCACCTGATAGAGATTTACAGGATATCAATGTCCTCAACACATTTACACTAATTATGTCTAGTTTATTAAAGTAATGCTTGAACATTAATGCTATTTCACACACTACCACATACAAATTATAAAATCTTTTTCTTTCCCATCCCTACACAATTCTAAGAAAGCTGTGCTTTATAAAGGTGAAATGTAGCCCCTCTTTAAGCATTGATAACTTTTTTCCTTCATTAACATAAATATTTAATGTATGAGATGAAAAAGAGGACTAGAGACCACCCTAATTTCTTAATGTTTTATTCTTAATGTTTTATTCTTTGGTAGGCTTGTTAAAGAATAGTTCATGCCGCTGTAAAAATGCCACTAAGTATATACAATGATACTATGCTCATTCAGCGGGAATAAATTCTGCATAGACCACATGGGTCAACCAAACCACTGAAACCTTGACAGGAAAAGGTTAGATCTTGTTAGAACACTACTCACATGTTGTGTGGAACATTAAGTTGATTCAAAGCAGTAGAATAAATTGGTAACACAACATGAACCGCTAAGATGTTGCGCACACAAGTAACGTTCACTGTCCCACAGTTATCCTAATAAAAATTGTCCCCTATATTAAATGAATTACAGTTTGTGGATGTGGACAGTGACTCAGCAATACACTCCTCTAGCTCACTGCTATGTTCTGGACTCAACTCACTGAACTTCAAACGCCTGATTTAGAAGAACGGTCACACCACCTTCCACTTCAGTCAGATCAGACATTAAGTGGTATGGATGGCAAGAGGGACTGCCCACGTCTTTTCATTTCCTCTGAGCTTGAGGAAGTTTTGGCTTATGATTTGCAAATTTTACTGTGTTCTAGGGCATGTAGCAGGCTAGGACCCACAATGTCTAACAAAAAGGTTAGGCATAGCTGTTCATTCTAAGACTAGGACATGACTAAAGATCCGTTGAATTAAAAATTAAAACTTTCAGAAAAAAAAAGAAAACTAAGACTTCTATGACATGTGTCCCTCATACAACTAAATCTGTCATTCTTTACAGAAGGGACTGTAATTTCTTCTTTTAGACCAAATAAGAACACAGCATGTTCACAATCTTAAACACAACTCTTTGAGATGAGACTCGGCTGAGATTATGCTAGACTGAGGAAGCCATAGAACTGGATGGCCACAGCCTACCCATGATCTAGAGAGTTAGTCTGGCTGATTTGAAGTCTGTTTTATCTAGTCTTTCAGAGTAAGAGAGAATGGAAGAATAGTCAAGAATATAAAAAAGAAAGAAGTCATGAAATTAAAGCACTGACATTATCCTATGCTTTTCTATTATATCAGTGCTAGAATGCTTAAAATAGAAGCTGCTTTCTCATGTCCCCCAAACGAACTGCAATATACAAGCCAATCTGGATATGAAATTATTCAGTATTTTAACTTACTATGAACTAAAACCCAACAATTATTTACTTCTTTTTTTAATAGGTGTCATTTAAAATATGACAGACAAATTTCATGCTATTTAAAGTTATGCAAAAAGGTTATGGGTACTGATCCTTCATAGCAGATTTTGAAGCTGGAAATGTAACATAAAACAGAGTAATTTTATCACCCAATGCCTGAAAAAAAATTCTTAACTGTAAGAATTTGACTATACCCTTTTTTCACCTGCATCACAAACCCATATATATGTAGCCAAAATTCACAAAGTTCACAATGTCTTATTTTCAAATGGTTTAAAATGCTGCTTCCACCCAGGCATGACTGGGATCTCACCTGGATAATACTTTAGAACAGAACACAAGGAAACTACTCTGGTGTTTAAATTAGAACTGGTTTCTATCATTATACCTTTTTTAAATCGCAAGCACTGTGAAAGAAAATGGTTAAAAAGACAAGCTGACATACTGAAATTTAAAAATTCCTAATTTTCAAAATGTATGATTTTGAAAAAGAAAGGAAATTTTGCTTTATTCCTTTGCTAATCCAACAGCAGCAAACCTGATTGGAAAAAATAAAATGAAAATAATGAAAAATTTGTGACAGACCTTTGATGCAATTTTACTTTTTCAAGCTCTAAGCTGCATTCTGTGCACAGTGAAGTTTTATCTGTGCATGCTTTGGAAACTTATTCAATTCCTATATGGCAGCTCAGGAAGAGTTCCTCCAAAGAAGTTCCCAGCAATCTTTTGTGTGTTTTGACCCTCATAATACATATAGACAAAACTCCCAGTTCGAAAAAATGATATATGAGGGAACCCATTGCACATGGATTCTCTATAAAGACCACATGACTTGGTGAAATTCTACTTATGATGACATGCTAATCAAAATCCTCCACTATAATGTGATGAGTCTTCTTTTACAATAATATTTTAAAATTAATTAGAATGTATAACTTAAAGAGTTACCAAAATACTAACTGTCAGCAATAGTTGTGACTTCCTCATTCTGATATAACCAGCTGACAACAGGAGCAGGTGAACTAGTAACATGGCAAACAACTTCTGCATCTTCTCCCTGCCTGAACTCTTGTGGAGATACTATGTCTTGGAAAGTGAGTTTTTCTGAAAAGGAAGAAAACAGAATATAGTAAGTGTCTTCCAGCTCACTTAGCATTGAAATGATATGTGACACCAAATCAGATAAAGATGACTACTAAACATTCTCATTGTGATAATACATTTATTTTTTCCAGATAGGGCTCAAGTGGTCCTGGACACATGATTTCCACTCTGTAGAAATTATTTCACAATAATTTTGCATTATGAAAATGTTTATTTATCTCAAATGAGCATGTTTTATAAACATATTTTCCATTGTTCCAGAGCCCAGTTTTGAACCCCTATTTTTTTAGATGTTTATATATTCAGGTTAATAGTCTATTTACTCTGTTGTCTATTTACTCATTATCTTATCACTGAATTAAAACCTCATGCTTTTATTCCATTGAAACTTCCATCAAAACAACCAAAATTATTTGGAAGAGTCTTATCAAAAAGGTGGAACTTTAGGCTCATTGACTGTGAAAAACATCAGCTGAATAAAACAAAAAAATTTAAAAGCCAGTGGGAAACTCTACAGAAAAAAAATTAGTATTATTAAGTCATAAGAAATTTTAGCATTTTTTGGAGGGAAATAATAAGATATTCTTAAGCCTGATGAGGCTTTTAATTTTTCCAACTGCAAATAACCAAACTTGATATTAATTTTACTAATGGCCTGAATAAGTTCTGTATTATTAGAACTTAGTGTTAGAAGTCCAAGACGACACTAATCCATGATGTCATACAAGATCTAATGCAGAAACAAATTTGGAAGATTGCACACAGAACAAACAAACTGACCTATGTTCTTTAGGATCAGAAACTGCCAACTACATTTTGGGAAACACTTTGGAGAACATAAGTCAGATGCAATTCCACCTCCACTTTTTTGTACTGGTAAAAGTGCAGGCTCAGATAATCCACAGTTCCCATAGCAGAGGGAGTACACTTTTGTTATATACATCTCTTACATACTTGTATAAATTATTTTTATGAAATATTTGAAGAATGTGACCTTATATAAGTCAGAAGAAAAACTCTCATAGGCATCAGTGAGTATTGAACCAGACCCTAGTATCCTGCTTTTTCCTTACAATACATCATAAACACAATGAAACCTTCGTATGACTGTTGCCACAAATCTTTCTATGTCTTGTATAGGTCTTCAGGTTTATCTAGCCTCAGAATTATTAAAATTACCACATTGAAACATTTCAAAAGATTTCAGCCTTGTTCAGCAGTTTGCTAATGGAGTGACTGGCAGTTTTAAGCATACAAATAAATTCCACAAAACCTGAAATCCTTTGAACGGCCAAATTTCAAGCCATCTTGTGATGACTTACAATTCCTATCACCATTTTAACGATTGTTTTATCAACAGGCTTCCTTAAATTGTATTTTTTTCATTATCCTAGTTATCTGTACCTTTCAGAGGTAATGCTTTATGATTCTACTCTGAATTTAATGTCCACTGCAATCCCTTAGCACTCAGCCCATCTAGAAATAAATTTTATGACTATTAAAAAGCTATTCTCCAAAGAAATTAGAGAATAACTCAGTTGAAAGGCTACTAGCAATGCCCTACTCTTTCACCAACAAAAATCTTGCCTTCTATCTTCACTATATACTAGTTTAATGTATTGCTTCTGATTGAGCTAAAGAATACAGTATAATGTAACATCATTTAACTAATTTGAAGAACAACCCACAGCCAAACAAAAAAAAACTCTAAGAAAATCTCTTGCCACAATGGAATGTATTTACTTTTCAAATCTACTCCTCAATTAGTTGTTTGCAATTGAAATGCATTTTGGATATTCATCACTGTAATCTTCAATTCCTTATGGGAAAATGTCATTATAAGGCCAAGAATAGAAAAGACTGACATAAAAAAACCCTAATTCAGTCTAAAATCCACCTTTTAATGATATATATTACACTTCCTGCCCTTTTATTTATGTACGTATTTGTAGCATTTTGTAGATATTTTTGTAATTAAGAATTAGGTTGACATAACTTCTTTTCATATTTCCTGTTTTCCATGAGGGACCTACAGTGCACTCTCATTAGATGGCATCCTAAGGAAAAGTGAGCTATAGTATTATAAAGTAGCCATCCATTTTATTTAAGTCTTTGTTGTAATATCTATTAACTAATCTGCAGGAGATGCAATTATTTGGAAGATAAGGTTCAGAGCCTAGAAAGATATTTTGTATAGGCTTCACTTTTTCAATAGCAGTGGCTTTTAAAACATAGTCTTTCATTTGATAATATTTTACTTACGATAAATTTCCAAAACAACAGTAGCTTCTTGAGTTTGTCCTTCAGCATCTGATGCTTGACATCGATATATACCAGCATCTTCTATATCTGCATTGTAAATGGTTAGACGTGATCGAACACCTTCTTTCTGAACAACCACTCTTTGACTAGAAACAATCTTCTCTCCTTGTGGACTGTACCAATCTATGTTGTCAGGCTCACCAATGGCTACAAACAAAACCAAAAAACAATCCAACATTAGAAGTTCAGATAGACATGCTTACCAAATGCACAATGTCTACGCAATGTCAGAGAACTGCTAAATTCTTGAGAGTTGTGAGAAAGCCTGTAGAAAGACAAGCAAGGCAAAACTGCAGGCAGATGTCTTATTGTTGAGACTAGTAGCTCAAGAATCGAAGAGGGAAAAAAATAGAAAGATATAAAGTCTTAAAAGAAAGAAACAAGCCATTCAGCAGCCACTGATCAGCAGGTCAAGTCATCAGTCAGTTGCACTGTCAATGCAGTCAGGCCATGTGTCATTGTCAATGGAAGATGGCAACTCAGCAACATCAAGGATCCTTATCAGCAGCTGCAAATGCAAACTCTTCTCCTGACTAAGACCTGGCTCGCTGGAAAAAACTTTTTGGGTGCCTCATTAGGCTGGAGAGGATAGTAAAGCTTAGCCTAGTAGCTTATTTAACTCTTTAGATTAGACAAGTGAACCTATTTTAACTAAAGAAGCATCCTAAAGTATACAAACTTCCTGTATTCATACAGACAATTCAACCTGAGCTATTCAGTCTGTAAGAAATAGTTTCTAGACTGGAAATCAATGAAGCCAATGAAGATCTACTATTTATCACAATTTTCACAAGTCAATGGAATATACAAAAATACACTAACTTAATACTGTGAATCAATTAAGACAGTTTCAAATTATATACCCTAACTATGCTATGATTCTATGTAGAAGGTTCAAAATACAAAAAAAAAGTACCTACAAGAAAAGTGAATACATACCCGTGCATGTGAAGAACTTGGATTCACCCACACTCAGCTCAACTTTGCTAAGTGAAATTGTAACTTGAAGTAGAGCTGAAAAATATAAAGTAGGTTATGAACACATTTTGGCATTTATCAGTTAAAATGTTATATTTTCAGGTTTTGTATTTTCTGTTTCTATACTACAGAGCCTGTGCAACAAATCTGAAAAGTTTCAGCTAAGAATTGTATCTTTAGAGCTGGAGTATACATAGAGGTGGAGAAAAGAATCAAAATAAAGATGTTACATGAAGGATAACAGCCTCAAATACTAAAACTTATGACAAAATTAGAGGAAAAAAAAAGTAGAAGGGATTGAAAGACACATGAAACCAAAACCTCAACGTGTATCGGAAGTTTTAAAAAACACTGTTTCAAGAATCTAAGGTTTTCAGTCTTAAAATGTAATAATTATGGTTTATTATGTGCATGTGGAAATATTTCATCTTGGTGAAAACTGCAACACGAACATTGAGTATACAGCGTATACTCAATGTCCCAAGATCACTAGATTATTTTTATATAATTGGTATGAAATTACACAGGATTTGGAGAAGGCTGAGGTTCTGAATGACTTCTTTGCCTCGGTCTTCACTGGCAAAGGCTCTGACTGCACCACCCAAGTCTTGGAAGGTAGATACAGGGACTGTGAGAATGAAGACCTTGTGCCCACTGTAGGAGAGGAGCTGGTTCGAGACCATCTTAAAAATCTGAACGTGCACAAGTACATGAGACCTGATGATATCCATCTGCGGGTCCTGAAGGAGCTGGCAAATGAAGTTGCTAAGCCACTGGCCATCGTATTTGAAAAATTATGGCAGTCAGGTGAAGCTCCCGATGACTGGAAAAAGGGAAATATAACCCCCATTTTCAAGAAGGGGAAAATGGATGACCCAGGGAATCACAGACCAGTCTCACCTCTGTGTCCAGAAAAATCTTGGAGCAGGTTCTCCTGGAAGGCATGCTAAGGCATAGGAAAAACAGCAAGGTGCTTGGTGACAGCCAGCACGGCTTCACTAAGGGGAAATCTTGCCTGATCAATTTGGTAGCCTTCTATGATGGGGCTACAGAACTGATGGACAGGGGTAGAGCAGTTGATGTCATCTACCTGGACTTGTGCAAAGCGTTCAACACTGTCCCACACAACATCCTTGTCTCTAAATTGGAGAGACATCAATTTGATAGGTAGACCATTCAGTGGATAAAGAACTGGCTGGATGGCCGCACACAAAGAGTTGTGGTCAATGGCTCAGTGTCCAGCTGGAGATCAGTAATGAGTGGTGTTCCTCAGAGATTGGTGTTGGGACCAGTTTTGTTCAACATCTTCATCGCTGACATGGACAGTGGGATTGAGTGCGCCCTCAGCAAGTCTGCCAATGACACCAAGCTGTGTGGTTCGGTTGATACGCTGGAGGGAACGAATGCCATCCAGAGGGACCTTGACACACTTGTGAGGCGGGCTGATGCCAACCTTATGAAGTTAAACCATGCCACGTGCAAGGTCCTACACCTGGGTGGGAGCAGGCACAGCTACAGGTTGGGCAGAGAAGAGATTCAGAGCAGCCCTGTGGAGAAGGACTTAGAGGTGCTGGTCGATGAGAAAATGAGCATGAGCCGGCAGTGTGTGCTCACAGCCCAGAAAGCCAACCATGTCCTGGGCTGCATCAAAAGGGGCATGACCAGCAGGTTGAAAGAGGTGACCCTCTACTCTGTTCTCATGAGACCTCACCTGGAGTATCGTGTACAGTTCTGGTGTCCTCAACATAAAAAGGACATGGAACTGTTGGAACAAGTCCAGAGAAGGGCCACAAGGATGATCAGGGGACCGGAGCACCTCCCATACGAAGACAGACTGAGAAAGTTGGTGCTGTTCAGCCTCAAGAAGAGAAGCCTGCATTGAGACCTTATAGCAGCCTTCCAGTATCTGCAGGAGGGCCTACAGGGATGCTGGGGAGGGACTCTTCATTAGGGACTGTAGTGACAGGACAAGGGGTAACGGGTTAAAACTTAAACAGGGGAAGTTTAGATTGGAAGTTTAGGGTGGTGAGGCACTGGAATAGGTTGCCCAGGGAGGCTGTGAATGCTCCGTCCCTGGCAGTGTTCAAGACGAGGTTGGACGAGGCCTTGGGTGATATGGTTTAGTGTGAGGTGCCCCTGCCCATGGCAGGGGGGTTGGACCTAGATGATCTAAAGGCCCTTTCCAACCCTAACCATTCTATGATTCTGTGATTCTACAAAAGGACAAACATCTCTAGAGGTGAGAAGTACTAAATTCCAAACTAACTTTTTGGTGTGAAAAAACTTAAACTATTCTTAACATTTTGTACCCTGCCCTCCATAAGAAAACGACTAAGAAGAAAAACCACAAAAAGCCCCCAGGAACACATCCTATTTCAGGCAAAAGTAAATGCTTGTGTGCACTCCGTTTGCTAACGTCAAAACCTGTCAGTCCATAAAGACCGTCAGGAAGAAGACATGACTACCTAGAGGTGACAAAGAAACTGAAGTGGACTATAAAAATGTTGAACCTAATACCAGAGCACATACTAGTACCATTTTCTTTGCAATAGCAAGGAAGACAGCGAAGGCTGCTTTGGAACACAAGCATAGCACTGACAGAGAAAGAGACTGATCATTCTCATCTGTCGCGTTTACGTCCATGGTACCAGAAGAAAGGCCAAACTTAAGAATAGGAAAGGAAATGCGTTTCAAACAAAGTTTTATTTTTGTCTTAATAAGCATCAAGGAGTAATAAATCAACTAGGAGGCTACTCAAAGCCTCATTTCTTTATTTACCCGTGAGGCTAAGCTCTATTTTAATCTCAGGACATATAACTGTTTGGTTGGAAACTGAGGTACTAATCAGTCCATTGGTTGGAGAATTTCAGGAGATTAGAGCCCAGACACTTATTTCAAATCACAGACTCATTTTTTTAGGTCCTGTGCCACCACTTATCTGTATTTTTTTATAAAGTTTGTAGTCTTGTAGAGTTACTTCAGAAATGCGTATGTCAGCATTTCAGCAGCATTGCTTCAAGGACAATTTCACTTCTTAGTTCCAATCAGTAAGTGATGTTGAACTACATAAATGTAATAGATTAAGTAAAAAATGTCAGGTAGAAAGTAAGGAACTGCATGATGAGAGGTGAAAAGTTAGAAAAATATATTTTCCTGATCAATGAAATAGGTATTTGAGTCTGTAAAACACAGTTTTGGCAAAGGGCTGAACTCCACTTAAAATTCTGAAGTACAATTATAAACTCTGTGAAGACATGCTAGCTACATCTCTGAAACCAAAAGGAAATAATATTTTCTACATATGATATATATATATATTTACAAGATAGAAAAATATAAGACCATCTATTCATTTTCCCCAGCTCTGCTTCATGTAAATAGAGCAAACCAGAAAGGAAAATTTTGCCAAGTGATTAATCTAGCAATCTGTGCTTATTAAGTAGTCAGGCAAATAGTTCAATAGTTTGCTAGTAGAAGGATCACTCATCACTTACTGAAAGTAAAATATTGCAAAGAAACAACCCATCCAGAAAGTTTTATATTACTTCCAAATTTATTACAAGTAGAACTACATAAGTGCATTAGAGCGCTATAAACTCTGAGGAAGATGGCATGCAACGTATGCACAATTCAAGTCACTGCTGTACACTAACAGCTAATGGATTAATATAAAGGGAGTTGTTTGTACAGACTGGTCAGAACGTCTTTGAACACACAGGTGAATGCTTATTTTATCAGGTCAGCAAAGATGTTCAAAAAAATTCAAGTCAGTAGAGGCTCTGTATAGCTATGTTAAACTAAGTCCAGAAATTGATAGTATCTTCTTGACAGATGCGACAAAATAGTCCCAAGTTTCATAACTAGCTGCAAAGAATAAATAAATAAAAAATCAATTAAAAAAAGGCAAGATCTAGAAGATGTCTTCAGGTACACTGGAATGTAATGCTACTGTAGTATAGCTGTTCTGTAAAAAAGCAAAGTCAGTCAGGGCTTCTTTTAGTCTTCAGTACATGTTCAGTTTTGTAGCAAAAAAAATCCAAAACACTATTAGCACTAGGGGGTACAACCAATCCCTTCCCTTTTGATCATAGTCATTATAAAAGAATTATTATCAACTGTACCACACTAAGCAGATTCTGTTGAATAATTCCTTAATGGGTTTAAAAATCACTTAGGAAGATAAGTAAGAGCAGTAATAAGAGGTCTATTTGTTCTGTTAAACATGGAGACAGGTGACTATTCATAAGGCCTGATATGCACTAGACTAATTGATTTCAGCACCATTTGCAGGAGTATCCTTTCACATTCAGATCAATAGATCTGAATGCATTTTTGAATTTACTGTTGAACAAAGAGACAGCACTCTGCTACAGAGGTGTCCTAAATATGTTGGGCTGCAAACCCACTGAAAGGAAGAGGATAACGTGAAGGCAGTAAATAGGAATGGGCACGGCTATGAAGACAAAACAAAGCACAGCCTGGTATCAACATGGAACAAAGGAGAGGAGCAATAGCTGCGGAGGCTAATTTTGATGGCTTTGGCAGTGACTTTTAGGAAAAACAAGTAGACTGCAAGACATAGCTGAAGACTGTATTCTTTGCGAAGGTCCTAATTCAGTTTTCTGACCACAGTTACATCCTAAGCTATTACTACGCTTTGTCTTCAGGTAGTAAGTAAACTCACTTGGGTGATGTGTTTTTTCTTTCAGTAAATGATTACAATAGTATTTAATATTTAATATGTTTAGAAAACTTGCCTTCATTTTTTGTGGGCATGAAGAAATTAGTATGTTTTTAATTGGTATCAAATTCAATCCCAGAACAAACATTCACCCAGTTAAACCTTTCCTCCTTTATTATGCAGGCTTCTGAGAATACTCTGCTTAAATCCACTGACTCTCAGATAAAAGCGAATGGGCTTTGAATGAAAATTACACTTGCAGAAATGTATTCTCCCTTAAATTTCTAAGATTTTCTAGTTTAAATATATTTGAAACACCAAAAACTGTGCTCTGTTTTCTTTTGTAACACTACAC